AATTATATCCCTGTAACCTCTAATAGTAATGTGTCCCTGTTACCCGTGCTGTTTAGTTCCTGTAGCCCCTGATGCTGTATACGTTTTACTGTGAACTGTTACAGGTGCTGTACAAGGTGGCCCACACCGAGTCCTGTAAGAGAGACATGGCGGCTGACTGTCATGAGAAGTATGTTACACAACCATTAAAGTCACCAAAGTCACATTACAGGAATGCAGTGGGACTTTGGTACTTGTAGCACTACATGTCTAATGGGCATTTTGATTCACATTGAGTAAAATCTAAATGTAATGTTGGATATTTTTAGTTGTTGCCATTTGGCCTCGATTTCTATCCTTTGTATGGTAGTGTGCATCAGTGTCCTCCAAAATATACCCTCTCTTTCCCTTCTGTCAGGTTTGCTGAGCACATGTTGAAGGCACATGGGACACATCACCAATGAGGACTGACCCCTACACTGACCACTGGAACTACTGTACACGTCGACTGACCCGCCAGCAGTGTTACACCAGGCTTACCAAGCCGTTCAGTGATCAGTGGCCGGTCTCACATCAACAAAGACATTAACTACGTAACGCTTGCCGTGTAACACAATTTGTAGAAGGACCTACATTTACTAATATTTCCATAGGAAATAATCAAAACTTTAATAGTGTCATACTAGACTACATAACATAACTTATATCTGTACACTTCATACAGTACTGATTTTATATCTTTTATTTCTTTCTACACAGCTATTTGCCAGCTGTGAATGAAAATTGAATTGTTTAAACAATATTCTATATATTTATTTTGCTACGTATATTTGGGGGACATCATTGGGTCTTGTATGTCGAAAATATCAATGAAAATGACATTTCTTATGGCATCAAAATTGAACCACAGAAATGATGAAATGAAGATTTATCTTGATAATTAAAACATGTCACCTTTTACTATGTAGGTGGCACAAGGGTTTAGCACATAGGACACACCTTTTTCATGCAATGGAATTCTATTTCTGGACACTACTGTATTGTATTCTTACAAGTGTTTTTGGATCACACTGTCAAGTCATTTGGTTATAAAGTTTTGGCGAAATATTCCTGGTAATTACACCAATTGTCAGTCAGCAAAGCATTTATAACTCTTGGGTTCTTCACTCCGTATGTACTCGTCAGGAGAGGGAGGCTAGTACAACTGTAAAACAAAAATAAACCCCTACAACTGTACGCAGTATGTAACAATACTTCTGAAATATTTCCCGGAGAATCAGTTTTTAATTACTGTTGTAAAATTAACAGTCTGTGTTAACCTGCTGGATAGGTATACTTTGTATTGGGGACCAACATGTTAAAAATGACATACATTATATATTTATACCTGCAAAACACATTATATACAGTAAATCATTTCACTTTGACATTTTAGTTTACATAACTGAAAAAAGTTATTTTCAAGATTACAAAAGGAATCGTTTAGTTCTTAAAGCTTTTATTTTTATCTGTTAATGATGTCCGATGGAAAAAAGTTCATCTGATCAAGAAACGCATTTTATGTAACATTTTGAGAATTTCTCAAAAAGTTCTTTCCTAAAGAAAGAGGAATGCTTTGTTTTCTATGTTGCATGATGGGATGGTAGAGGGCTACTTGTGATAATTTTTTATACTCAGAATTACTTGTGACGGAGGGAGAATCAAAGACTTGTGGGAAAGGATTGTAATATTGTACAGGTTTTTTAAAGAAAAGGTGGAAGTATTGGTTATTTTAATGTTTTTAATAAACATCTTGAGGCTACCAACAGGTTTTGTTTTTATTTCACTTAAATCCACATTGGGGTTCACTACATATACAGATCGTAGATAAGAGATTGTCTCCCTTACACTGTATATATCACAACTGGACATGCACATCTAGCTCTTCATTTTGTTAACCACATTACAGTTTAATCAGTTGCACAGAGTTTATTCCTTTATGAAATAGAGATGGACCTACAGATTTATTTTTTATTTTTTTGGGGGGGAGGGGTTATGTCTTAAAGATGGAGTTTCCTAGGAAAAACCCCAGACCTGCGGCCAGTACCCGACGACTCCCCCAAGTAAGCCTCGAACATGCAACCCAGTGGCAAGGTACAGTACCTGGTGACTGCCCCACGTAGGCCTCGAAGCCCTGACCCACTGGTGGAGGGCTAGTGGTAACTACTCGGCCACAGCAGCCCTTTAATTAATGTTGCTTTCTTGGTCAGTGTTATAATTAGTGTGCATGAACAAACATGTCCCCAGATCTATCTAGCTCCTAAAAATATGTTTCAATGACGGTTTTTGGTATCATTTGGGTCAATACACTTTTAAACCAGTCAGAGAAAGATGTTTTGCCAAAAAGACAGACTCCAGAACATAGTTCTATAACAGAAGGTTGAC